GCCTGTAACTCACTCTACACCTCTCTGAAGAGGCTAAGAGGAGATAGGAGGTGTTTGCTGAGTGAAAGAGAGAAAGTGAGAGGGAGAGTGGTCAGCTGGAATTAGGTAATGGTATAATACAGGCCATGTAATATGGTCATTTAGTTTAGGTATCATAGAATAACAGTAGGGTGGCCATCATAGAGGACATTCCGGTTTTCTGCTACTCTGTCCTCTATTGATACGAAATCTGATGCCTTTACGTCCTCTATTTTTCTCTTGAGCCCACTGGATATATATTTTTCTCTTCAAGAGAAAAATAGAGGACATAAAGGTGTCAGATTTCATATCAATAGAGAACAGAGGACAACCGGACTGTCCTCTATGATGGCCACCCTGAACCATAGTGAAGAGTTACAATTTGTCTCCTTCTAATGCCAGCTTCCTCTTTCTCTCCTTATACTACTGAAAAGTACAGAAAAATAATGGAAGTAAGAAAAAATTCAAATATTAGTCATCCTTAAGGAGTAAGAAGCTAGGGTTTGGGAAAGTAGAAGATGAGAGAAAAAAAGAGTGACTTTGGATGGGGGAGGAACTAAACAATTCAAAAAATTTGGGAAAGCAGTGAAGAAAATATAGTGAAGAAGGAAGAAAAGGATGAGATGAGGATGAAAGGAAAGAGAAGGAAAGGCATGGAAGAATTCAGAGGTATTAGCTAGGATACAGAAGAGAAGGAAAGATTAATGGAGTGAGGCAAGGAAGTGACCAGAATTTTACTACAAGATGTCTCTGTACTGAAAATTGTACTTGATAGATCACCTTTTGCACTGATGAGTGCAGCAGCTAAATTGTAGAAAATTAGTATTAGTTTTAGTACTGTTTTTTTTTTGCCTGCCCCGTATAGAGGGTAGCATTCTGTTTTGCCAGCACAGTAGCATCTTTGGGTCTGTCCTGGTCTCTCTGCATTTTGGATTCTTGTCAAATAGTCTGTTTTCTTTTCCCTTCCAGAAAATACTTGCAATAACAAACACCTGGATCTCGTCTTCATCATTGACAGTTCTCGCAGTGTACGCCCTTACGACTTTGAGAAAGTGAAGGAGTTCCTTTTAACCATCCTTCAGTTCCTGGACATCAGTCCTGATGTCACCAGAGTAGGCCTTATTCAGTATGGCAGTACAGTCAAACACGAGTTTTCACTGAAAACATTTGGGAGAAGACAGGATGTGGAGAGAGCAGTGAAAAGAATGATGCATCTGGCCACTGGCACCATGACTGGACTGGCCATTCAGTATGCAATGAACATTGCATTTTCAGAATCAGAAGGAGCTCGTCCTCTGAGCCAGAATGTGCCCAGAATAATCATGATAGTGACAGATGGACGACCGCAGGATCCAGTGGGAGAGATTGCAGCTAAAGCCCGCAACTCAGGCATCCTGATTTTTGCCATTGGAGTAGGAAGAGTGGATATGAACACACTGAAGTCCATTGGAAGTGAACCTCATGAAGAACATGTGTTTTTGGTGGCTAATTTCAGTCAGATTGAAACGCTGACCTCCGTGTTCCAGAATAAGCTTTGTGGTAAGGAAACTATTTATGGATTTGAAAGCATAGAAGGTAGAGAAAAAAACAAACAACAGAAACATCAAAGGAGATTACTTAGCTTTTATGGTAAAAAATAAAAGCTAAGCAGAGGACTAACTAAATCAGTAAAATATGTGAATCTAATTCATTTAAAGTGTATATATCAGTAAAGGAGTTTAGCCAAAGGACATTCAGAATAGCATACATAGATATCTAGCATACATAGGAAAGGAGCCAATCCTGTTTTTGAACCCCATAAAAATAATTTAATTCCTAGTGATAATATGCAATGGTAGAAATAATCAATACTTTTATCATGTATTGCTTAATATTACTTTAACACAGCCTCCAATTCTTTGCTATTTTAAATGTCAGATAATCTTTTAATTAATTTAATGTTTGTTCATTAGTAATGAAATGTTAAACTTACAAACTTTATAGTCTCTTGGCTATCAGTAAAATATGGAGTTCATGGCCCTGTATATACTTTTCTCCCAAGATCCTTAGGCATTGGCTGGGTTCAAGGAAAAAGACATAGAGATAAAGTAATACTTTTGTTTGATCTGAAGTCCTTTGCAGATTTAAAAGATCATGAAAGGCCATTACTTGAGTGTTCTTCATTCATGCAATAAAGTGAAAAAGTAGTTTTTGCTGGTGTGTGCCGCTCCTCATTAGACAAAGTATTCCCTATCAGGTGATCATTTACTTAGATAATCTTTGAAAAATCCTGTTGTGCTTAAGAGATTCAACTTCTTCCATTGCTTATGATTGGTGGGTTTTTCCCTTTTACTTTTTATTGATGCCTGGAAACAGCTCTTAATAGAAATCAGCTTGTTCAAAATTATATGAAACTTAGGTCCAAGTGGACATACGTCTACACTACATGAATCAGCATCCTCACAACTGGAGTTCTAAATGGCTTTCTCAGTGCATGCCAAGGAATAAAGGAAGGGATGGGAAGGGATTTTAAAATGCCCTCCTTTTCCTATCCTACAAGAATAGGGTTGAGGCACATTATTATGACGTTGAAGGGAAGTTTGTATTGCTGCTGCAGTTTCCTGATCCACAGTGTAGCAAGGCTCCAGTGGGAGCTGTGACATTGCAACCTACCAGCAGTGGAATTCATTAGATAATAAGATTTTGACAATATTTTTCTTTCAGTATTACCAGCCAGAAGAGTAAGTTATATTTAAAAATGTAGTAATTTATTTAATAAAAATGCAGTAAATAATACATTTTAATAGAATGAACAGAAAGCAGTACACCACTTTTTTAAAATACATACTCTCCACCTCCAAATAGTTCAAAATAATATATCAGGCCACCAGGCTGTCCATTTCCCAGGTTGGGCATTTGTTTCTTTCAGGGTACCTGAAAAACTGTCCAAATATGACCAAATTATAAAACTCTAAAACAAATTCTGTTCATACAGACTCAGTAGAAATCTGCTAGAATTTAGAAGCTAAATTCTCATAAGATTCTGTCTGTCTGATAATGCTTCATACCAAGACTATAGGTAGGAAGTCAGACTTTGCCTACAGTGATGGCTCCTGGTTGCCAGGGGATGCTGTGGTGCTGAACTCAAGACTCCCAGGGATGCAGATAACTTGGAAAGGGTTCAGAAGAGGCCCATCCGCCTGGTTAAAGGCCTACAGAAAAAACCCTATGAGGACCGATTGAGGGACCTGAACCTCTTCAGCCTCCACAAGAGAAGGCTGAGAGGTGATCTTGTGGCTGTCAAGCTCATCCAGGGGCGGGGGCAGCATGAAATAGAGATACAATGTTGACCAGGACACACTGGATAACTAGAAACAATGGCTGCAAACTGAAGGAGAGCAAATTTAGACTGGACATCAGGAAAAAATTCTTTACAGTGAGGATTGCCAAAATATGGAATATGCTTCCAAGGGAGATTGGACAAACACCTGGCTGGGGTCATCTGACCCCAGCACTCTTTCCCACCCAGGGCAGGGGGTCGGACTTGATGATCTAATAGGTCCCTCCCAACCCTAAAATCTATTAAATCTATGTCCATAGAGTGCTGTGCAGAGATACCTGTACAAAGTGTGAACAGAAGCAGTACAGTTAGAATTACTGTTCACTCTCCCCAAGGCTAATTTGTGCCACAGAAGTAGGACACGCAACCTCAGTAGTGTTACACTAATGCAGCTATGCTGCTTCTAATATCTCAGTCCCTCCCTGCCCAGGCAAGTAACCTTACTGGAGCATACATCAGAAATAAGGTGGAGGGAAATGGGGGTAGAGGAACAGGAGCTAGAAGGAATGGAGTTAGATAGAAGCAGACAGGGGAAGACTTGGAGCCAGTCAAGAATACAGCTGTAGAGGGATAGGAGCCTCTATGAAGCAGACAGGAGCAAAATAAAGTTTCTTTACAATACCTTTTGGTGGTGTTATCCCCATTTAAAGCTAGAGGAACTGAAGCAGAGGGAGACTGAGGCTAAAACTGCCAAAAGGGTCCAATATGGGGATGATGTCATAACCATGATTTTTGTAGCTACAAGCAGCCCACAATGGGGTTAAATTGCCTCTCCTCCTTCCCACTGTCTCTCCCCCTATTTTACTGCATGTGCATTAGCAAAATCACACTTTTTTATGTGATGCTTAATGTGCAGTAAAATAGGCTACTGCACGTTAAAGCACACGTGTACATGTGCCCATCCTGGCACATCTTAATAGAAGCAGACAAGTGAGTTGGACACAAAGCAGCTTAATTAATTATTTATGACTTCCAGAGGCTACTAAACTAATACTGGATGGAAGCTCTCTATTTATAACACCATGTGAGCTGGTGAGCTGTAAGAGAATGGATAGTATAAATACCCAGACTTTTAACAAACTGGTGGCTTACAAAATGGTTAAATTGTAGCTCAGCTGGCTCCCACTCAGTTGCCATTGCCTGCATTGATGTGCATAGAATGAGGCAGGGCCCTATGGGGGAAAAAATGTATATTATCATATAATTAAAGAGTATATCAAAATGCATGGGCTCAAATTAAGACTACATGAGCATCCTTAATTCTACAATTTCCTAATTTCTGAGTGTTTGATTTAGTAGCTTGAATGTTTTTCTTTTTTAATGTTTTGTTTGGGTTTTGGATGCAACGTTCTATAAACGAAATCTTGTGCTGGATTTTCTCACTTTTAAATAGTAAGACTGTCTAATGCCAGATGTGTCAAATGACTTTGTTTTCTACATGACAATTAGCGTAGTTAAAAGTGCTCTTTTTGACATGATGAGCTAATATCAGATCATCGTGGCTAGTAACATACAGCCAGCAGGAGACTTGTGTTTGGAAAAAAAAACATTGGCAATCTTAAGCTTCAATTTCAGAAATGCAGTGATGCAAAAGAAAAAGGCAAAGAGTTAGAGCAGATCTTAGTCACATAAATAAATAAAAAGTACTTGAAAAATGGTATTATACTAGATGATGAGAGATCCAAAATGTTAATAAGTGAATTGGGAATTGTAGTGGTTTGCACATTAGTTATGAATTCATAACACTGGGAATATTTCCAAAGACAGTATGTAGCATATTCTTTCTCAAAACCATATTGTTTTATTAAAAGTACCACACACACCAAATGCTAAGCTATTTTTCTGACTTCTGTTGTGGCTATTTGAAAAACATGGAAGTTAAATATATATTCTACAAGTTTACAGAGGCATAGGTTGTAGCTGTGTTGGCCTAAGGACATAGGCAGACAAGGTTCTTTGGGTAAATCTGATATCTTTTATTAGACCAACTCAAATAGTTGGAAACATTCTTCTTTGCAGGCTTTTGGGTATAAAAAATGATGGGTATATTTATACCTGAAAGCTTGCAAAGAAGAATTTTTCCAACTATCTGAGTTAGTCTTATAAAAGATAGATTTATCCGAAGAACCTTGTCTTTCCATAAATTTAGAGATTTATTCATCTAGTATAATAAAGATACCTTCAGTTCTTAATAGTCCAATGCACAAAATATTATCCTTAATCAGATATTCACTGAGAAGGGTTTCACCTTATGAAGTGACATGAAAACAATGACCAAATGAAAAGAGAAGATTGGAAGCAATTTTTAAAGTCCAAAGAAGATTTGATCTGGAAAACAGCTCAGTAAAATCACAATGAACACCATTAAACTGGCCCTAACTGCTCTTATTTGCATTGTTTTCCACTCTTTTGAATTTTACTGCTTGTTTTAAGTTTGAACAATAACAAAAAATAAGACATTTTTTTTTAATCTGGAAAGGCTAGTAGTTTGCATGTCTGAAGGAAATAGTAGCAGTACACAACTCCTGAGTAATGGGTGTAGCAATGGGCTTGAGTCTAATCCAGGGGTAGGCAAAATGCTGCCCATGGGCCAGATGTGGCCTGCCAGGCCATTCTGTCCAGCCCACGGGGCCCCTAAAAAATTTAGAAAATTAATATTTATCTGCCCCTGGCTGCCTGTCATGCAGCCCTCTATGGCGTGCCAAAACTCAGTAAGCGGCCCTCTGCCTGAAACAATTGCCCGCCCCTGGTCTAATTTATGGCTCCATCTACACTTTAAATTTAAGGCACAATTAACCAGTTAATCATGTCCTAAGTGGTCACCCACCCACATGTTCAATCAAATAATGGCATGATAAAAAGAGGAATAAACTATAAAGTTGTTCCACAAAATATGTACACTAACTTTGTTGCTGCTTCCTTCATGCCATTAACTAAATGTTTGGCCAGGGCAACTGTGTCTGAGAGCTTTCTCAGGTGATCAAAGCTCCCAGCTGGGGGGCCCATGTGCTCCCCCCCAACCTCAGAGCTCCCAGCTGATGCTGGCTCCCAGCTTCCCATGGCCCATGCACCCCCGTGGTTGGGAGACTGCAGCTGAAGCAGTGTCCTAGCCACAAGGGTGACCCAGTAGTAGTGATTCCATTTCATTTCTCTGTTATATGGTTATTTTCTCTCTTCAACCATATTATAATTCAATATTTGCTAGAATTATTTATTTAAAGTATTTTTTTCTAAAAGAACTCTATTGCAATTTGTTATATTTGTTTCACTGGGCTCCATGCCACTTTAAATCCCAGGGTATTCAATATTTCAAGGTATCGCTTTTATTTGTTATGAAAAGAAATCTTCCATAAATTGTGTTTTGTCCACATTAATCCTGTTTAAAATTTTAATTGTTAAGGCAGACACTTTTCTTGTGTGATACCACGCATAAAACCATGATGAAAATGTCAGCCAAGGAAGGAAATATCTTAATTACAAAACATTTTCTAACATAAATATGCACTACTTATTGTTGTAGTTTAATTACACAATCACATATAGGTTTTACACTTCACTTATTCTGGAGAAAAAAGTTGGCTGTGAGGCTGATTTGATAAGTCTTTAAATACCACATGAAATGTGGTTATAAAGATGACAGAGATAGATTATTCTCTGTGGCTTCAGGGGACAGGACTAGGAGCAATGGTCTCAGCTTGCAGCAGAGGAAATTTAGCTTGGATACTAGGAAGAAGCGTCTCACTATGTAGGTGGTTAAGCACTGCAACAGGCTGAACAGAGAGGCTGTGGAATCTCCATCACTGGAAGTTTTAAAGAGCAGGTTAGTTGACTGGGATGGTTTAGTCAGGGACAATCCTACCTTGAAGCGGGAGCCAAACTAAATGGTCTCCCAATATCTTCCAACCCTACTATTATATGACTTTGTCTTGGTTGTTTAAAATTTACTGCAGACTTCTATAACATAATCCTAAGCAATCAGTCTGTTTTCACTTCAACTATGATCACTATAAACTAATCATGGCAACAGCTAACATTTTGATTTTCTCTTCTAGTGCCTCACATGTGCAGTATTGCTGAACATGGCTGTGATCACTTCTGTATTAATACTCCTGGCTCCTATGTGTGCAAATGTAAGCAGGGATACATTTTGAATGCTGACCAGAAGACTTGCAGCAGTAAGTTATCTTTCATAACTTTGCTCTTTCTTGGTCACGTAATTCATGCAGACTCGCACCCCTTCAAGGAGGGCAGAGGCAGAAAAGTGGACTGGGATATACATTTAAGCAACTGGAGAAATAACAATTTAGGAATCTCTCTATCAGCTCAAAGCGGTGGTTCATCTACTTCAGTAACTTGTCTCAGTAACAAGTACCAGATGTTATAATGAAAACGCAGTAAATCCCAGGGTAGACTATCATGTAGTAAGTTAACCACAGAAGCAGGTCCTTCCTAACCTCTATCTAAATCAGACAAGTTTATATCTTTTAAAAAAACAACTTAAATCCTTTTGTGTAATGGAATAGTGAATATTCTCATACACACAAAGGGACATTTTTTCCCCAATTCTAAGCAACAAGCCTCAAACTAAACTAAACTTTAAACCACAGAACAGTATCCTAAGCTCTAAAAAGCATTAATATCTTATATCTCAGGTTCTGATTAATTTTTCCAGAAAATAATGGGTTTATCAAACACCTTCATTGTATTAGTTATTGTGTATTTGTTTTTTTATCTTACCTTCTTAAGTTTTTTTCTCCCCAACTATGTGCAGATTACCATGACCATACACTTTTGAGAATGTAAAGTAGAACAAAAGGATGAGAGCATGGTTGAAGGAGACAAAAGGATTATTTATTTCTGGGTGTTTATATTTGCTCTGTGTGTTTATATTATGTTCTTCATCATGTCTCTTGATTTGAAGCAGGCAGCTGTTAAACAAATATTCTGTGCCAATGATCTGAACCCAATTCTAATGAGGCTTCTTTCTAGTAGTATAAAATAATTCAGTGTCTGGCAGCCTTAGCGCCTGATGTTAAGTTTTTTTTACTATCACTTGCCATAAATTTCACTGAGGATGTTTTGCTGCTCAACACATATTTAGAACAGCCTCTTATAACATTTGATATTCATAACAAAAAACTAAATTACATTAAGCAGTAAAGGTAACCCACATTTTTCTAATGATTTTTAAATAAACTTTATTTTCACTTTTCCATTTTTTTTATCAAATCAAAAAAGGAAAAACCAAAGCCAGGAAAAAAAATGTGTCAGTTTCCTTTTCTCTTTCCCTTTTCTTCCCTCACCTTCCGCTCCCCAGTGTCCAAAAAAAGTAAAAACAAAAATTGAAAAAAGTGACTGAGTCACAAATGGAATTTTCAAAATCCTGCATAAATCCTTGTTTTGCAGCATTCTTTCATTTTTTGACAAGCTGTACTTGGGCATGATCAAATGCTCTACTAAAGTCAATGAAAGTTTTACTACTGATTTCAATGTATAAAATCAGGTAGGTTATTACTCATCAAAGCAGAGATTTTCAAAATTTACCCATGAAACATATTTTATATTAGTCTGATACATTCTTCCTTATTTTCCCTATCTATAATCCCCATTGGAATACAGAAGGTAGAGAAGTCTGATTCATGCAATGATTTTTTTTTCCAGCTCAGGATCTATGTGCCATTGAGAAACATGATTGTGAACAGATATGTGTGAATACACCTGGGTCTTACGTCTGTCAATGTTATGATGGGTTTGAACTTGATAAAGATGGAAAGAAGTGTATAAGTAAGTATCAATTTAGAAATTTGTGGTTATTGTTGGACATAAGCCAAAGGGAAATCCAGTACATCTGAATACAGAGAGCTGCCATGGTCAATGATGGAAAACTTTCTTCACCCACATAGAACTCAAGCATGTGCATAGATTTGTTGCTAGGCTTTTTGTCAATGCACTCTGAAGTACTGAAAGAGTGAAAATTTGCCCAAATATTTTCACACAAAGTAATGCTGACATTTTGAAAGCAAGTACTACACCAGGCATTCTCAATCCCCGGGCTGCAGCCCGGTGGGTGGGCTGCCAATCCACAGCATGGTTGGCTGCCAGACTGGAAGTGGCCGTGAACCTGCAAACCGCGGCTCCCCAGAGCCAGGCAGAGAAGCCACAGCTCCTTGCACAGGACCCACAGCAGCACAGGGTTTGGCTCACCACCACCCGCCCCCCAGCCAAGGTCAGCTGTGACTGCTGGGCCACAGTTTGCTGGGCCATAGTTCGCCAGGCCGCGGCCTAAAAACTGTGGGAACCCCTGTACTAGACTTTCTCCTCTAGGCTGCCAGCAGTATACTGACATGATACCATTTTGATCGATAGGAGAAAAGTGAACAAATTGATAGACACTGGCCATAAGTGTTGGTATTACTATACAAGGGTTGTCATCTGTTGTGGTGGAAATCAGATCGTAGTGTATTTTGGGAGAGGGTGGAAACTCCTGACTCCATTTCAAAGTCAGGCCAGGTTTTCCACATCTGTTCCTGAGAGCATGACTCTCAGAGCATGTAGATGGGTGTTGTGTGGGAATCATGTCTAGAATTGACTAATGCCTATAACAAAACCTGCTTTTTGTGCCTCTTATAGACTGAAGCCTTGTGTACTTAAGCTAACATTGAATGAAGGATCAGGAAAACAAATATTAAATATGACATGTATATATCTTTAGGACTGTCTAAAAAACTTACTTTTCACTCCTTTCATGTTTATACCACAGTAAATGCATTTCAAGATAACCTAGTTCGGCAGGTTTATGCCATTCTCACAGATCAACCATGTTGGTTTTATTTCAGAGGAATAGCTTCGTCTCCTGCCTTCTGTAGAAGGGCTAATACATTTTAGGAGAAGTTTACCTTTTTCTCTAGGTCCTAAATTCAGAAAAGCATTTGCATATGTGGTTTTTTCAGAAAATAACAGCAATTTTGAAATAAAACCATTTTGTATACAATGGGCATGTCTATGTGTCACCATACAGCGACGTTGCTATGGCGATGTGCTTTAGTACTTCCTTTTGGAAGTACAAAAGCATGGCGCAGTACAGGGGCAATTTCTGCACTGTGTGGGCAGTGCACACTTAGATTTCCTAGTTACATCGCTGTAGCAGTGCACTACATCCGGGGAGCGCACTGCTACGGTGACATAGCTGGTGATCACATGTAGATCCACAGGATTGTTACATTGCCATAGCATGCTATACAGCGACATGTAGATGTGCCTAATGAGTATGAAACTACACTGGGAACACTGATGGCAGCATTTCAGCATTGTCAAATGCATCCATCATTTACGACTATGTAGAGAAGCGATGTGGTCCAGTAAATAATAACTGCACATAAAGTAGTTTTATTTCAAAATTGCCATTACTTTCTAAAACACCCTTGTATACGCTTAACTAGAAACACATGCTTTAAATCCCATCAAAATTGGTCAAATGCTAGGTCTCTAATCCCGCTACAATCCTTCTTAAATTATAAGCAGAAATAATTCCCCACAGCTGTGCCATCTTTCCCACTAACATTTTTTGCCAGTTTAAAGCTCCATGTCATTATGTTAGCTAGCTCTTGCTATTATTTTGACAGTCCTCTTAAACCATTGTTTAGACTGCCCCAGTGCAAAATAGTACTATTTCAACATGCAAAAAAGGTAACAGACCATAACAAATGGACATTCTGCTTGCAATTTTCTCTTCTACACACACAAGTGAGGGTTTTTATTAGACTTAGGAGTACATGCGCACTTTTGAGGCACATCCACTGTGTACTTCATCCTTTAAAATGTTTTAATTATTCCTGGCCTCCTGGTTTGAATATGGGAGTGCCTACATGCCTTGACATTCTTTAGTTCATTGTTTGTTTTTTTGTGGGTTTACAACCTTTTGAAGATTTCAGAGCACATGGGTTTCATTGCTGTGCATATGCTGATGATGATCAAACCCATGGCTGGCTCCTCAGAGGACATTCATGTGCTTCTTTCCCAATGAATGCATTTGATATATAGATATAGATATCTATATAGATATCTATCTATAGATGATAGATAGATATATCTATCTATATCTATATATTTGCTTAAAACTAATGCTCATTCAAAGGCCCTAGGAGTTATGTACCATTTTAAGGGTTTGTTCTTTGAAGCTGGATTCTTTCTAAATTACAGCAAATAGTGTCTAATAGATCTTAAAGGTAGAAGGAATGATTAGATCATCTAGTTAGACTGCCTGCATAGAACTGGCCATAGAATTTCACCCAAGTGTCTCATATTGAGCTCAATAACTTACGTTTAATTATAATACACTTTCCACAAGGGCACATTTTCCTGTTCTTCATTGTTAAAAAAATGTGCCTTATTTCAAATTTGAATTTATCTGAATTCAGCTTTCAGCCATTTGTTGTCGTTATCACTTTCTCTGCTGAATTAAAGAGCTCCTGAAGTTTTGGGATTTTCTCACTGTGAAGGTAGCTATACATTGCCAAAAACTTACCATTCATTCTTCTTTTTGATAAGCTGAATAAGTTGAACTCTAAGTCTAGAAAAAGATGTCACTGAATGAAGCAGATCAACTGTGCCAAAATGTGTCATGGCATAGCTGATCCGCCTCATTTGGCTAAACACATGACACATATTGCCCCTTCTCCTGCCTGTTGATGGAGAAGGGCTGATGTGATCTCCAGAGGCAAGTTTGGGCAAGTAAGGAAAGCCCCACTTTCCCTGCTTGATCAAACTTGTACCTGGAGATCCGGGGAGCACATCCTGGTGAGCAGGGAAAGTGGGGCTTTCCCACTCACTGAGACTCACACCTGGGAATCTCTGGAGACAGGTTTAGATAATCAGGGAAAGCTCTACTTTCCCCACTTACTCAGATGGTCCCTAGAGATTCTAGGGGTGAAGCTGGTTAAGTAGGTCTCCACAAGGAGGCACAGGGCACCAGGGTCCCAGTGTCCCATGTCTTCACACCAGAAGCCACGCAGGCTTTTCTGCTGGAGAAGACCACCAAATTGTGAATAGGTCTCTGTAAGATGGGAACCCCAACTTCTCTACTTATGGAGAAGTTAATGAGAGAGTCCTCTGACTAGGAGAGGGCTGCACTTAGATAGGAAATAAGCCCAGGCGCTGACTTGAGCAGGGAGTAAGATCCTGGAGGCTGCTGCAGGAACATCTATTCAGGAGGATGGCTGCAGCTCTGGAATGTCTACACAGGGTGTGCAGCCAGCAAGTTTGGAGGTTTTGGAAGGGACTAAGGAGTGGAGGAGGTTCCTAGAGGCCCAGTTAGGGGCCCAGAGTCCAGAGAGGGGCTAAGTGTTGAGTGTGTGACCCATGGAGTCCAAAAGCCCAGAGAGGGGCTGAGTGTGGCACCAGGGGGTCTATGAGCCCAAGGAGGCTGAGTGTGGAACCTGAGGTTTCAGGAACATCAAAGGGTGATGACATCTGCAAGGTCTGGTGTAGGGTCAGATGGAGCCATTCAATTAGCCTGCAAAGCAATGGCTCAAGGGTCGCACTCAGAGTGTGGTGGTGGACGGGTCACATTCGACCTGGGGGGAAGTGGGCAGCGAAGTCCCCCAGGGCTCGGTCCTGGGGCCTGCGCTGTTCAATTTCTTTATCAGCGATTTGGA